CACTCTTTCAACATACGCTCGAACAAAAATGGATGATATTTTTCCCTTCAGAAAGAGGTTTTCCTCTAAAGGTAGATTTTTTTTTGTGAGAGAAGCAGTCATGGGCGGCTTCTGAGTGCTGCATTGGTATATTTTTCAGTTTAGTGCAGCAAGCAAGCTCCCTCTCTAATCTAAATGGAATAATAAAATGTTTGAGCTATTTCAGTCTTGCTGTTCTTTTGGGGAAACAATTATCAGCTGTGTGATACCATATTACATTCATCTCGAGATTTTCTGTAGCTGACATTTCCAGGCTCATTTTCCTTACGACTTTACTTACAGCAAATTAGTAGTTATCAATTTGATCTTGATTTTAATCTTTCACCAAATTAGATTTCCAGTGATGTGACAGATCTAATGCTCATTATATGTGAATATTTCAGCACATAGGCATAAAAGCACCCATGTGTTTAAGTCTTGTTTATGCTGGCCAGCATTCCTCATCAGTTTATTCAGAATCAAATCTAAATGTTAAATACAGATTTTGTTCTCTCATACATTTTCATGCAAAACAGTTGTGGAAATTGCCTTTGCCACTAGCAACAAAATCTTCCTGCCAAGGTATAAAGGAATCCACCTTGATAAATGTTGTGATATATTTAAAGCTACTTGCAGCACAGATAGACTAAAAAACTCCAGGAAGACAGCAGAGTGGGAGTTGCTTGTTTCTTTTCTCTAGCAAGCCAAATAACCTCAGATAAAAGCTACTTAGACCCACCTAAAATGCTTAATATTTATAAGTTAACAGATGATGCAGAGCTTGAGTGCCTTCATTTTCTGGTTTGTTCAACATGTTTTCAGAAGAGTATCGAATAAATAAGGTTTAATTTATACACGATACTGAGTGTATTCAGCTTGCATGGATTTCCATGGGAGCGTAAGAACCCGGTGGAAACACACTCTCTCCCCTTAATTGAAAGTGAATTCATTAAAATCTTAATTATTAGTATTCTTTCATACTCGGTAATTTTTTTGGTCTGTCTGCTGGCTGGCTCCTTCACGTGCAGAGGGGCGAGAGGAAGCGTTTGTTCATTTGTGTGACTTTCTGCCAACAGATGGGCTAGTTGACTGTATGGATCCTGACTGCTGTTTGCAGAGTTCTTGCCAAAACCAGCCTTATTGCCGTGGACTACCTGATCCCCAGGATATTATCAGCCAAAGCCAACAGTCGCCGTCTCAGCAAGCTGCCAAAGCCTTTTATGACCGGATCAGTTTCCTCATCGGAGCAGACAGCACTCATGTCATACCTGGGGAAAGTCCTTTTAATAAGAGGTGAGCCCGACTCATCATTTACTCATGAATACGGAAGAAGTTGGAGAGTGTGTGACATTCACGTCTAGGAGAAGATCCACTGTGACTGCAAATTCCATGGCGTGGACTTTCGGCGGAGACCTTTTCACTTAATACATCAAATTGTTTATTTTGTCTCATTTCCTGCAAAATTCAAATTGCCAGTGCCGGTAGGGTACAGGAGGTACTTGCCGTGCTTCGTACCTGTGTTCTAACAGGGCGCTTCATTAATGATTAAACAAATCTTTATTTAACCAGTTGATTTGGGCTGGCACAGTTGGAAGTACATCAAAGCAATGAAAACACTTCAGAAGGAAAAGCAAAGCTGCACTTTTTAAACTGAGCTCACTAAATAATATAAATTATGAATTAATGTAATAGAACCGTTAAGTGCACGACAGTATAATTGCCTAAACTATTTGACTGGTGCTCTACGAAGCAGTAATGTCCTGAAAATAAACCAGTAACAGGAAGCAGGTGTCTGGGATCTCACTGAGCGAAGGAAGATGATTTATACGAGAACTACTGCGTTTGCAGTAATTTAACAGCATTAATGTGTTTGGGCACAGCAGTTGATTAAAAGTTGTTGCACAAATGTTCCTTATTGCTCTTTGAAATTTTGTACTTCACAATCCCTGCAGTTTTACAGATTGCTTTGATACTAATTGAAAAGTACGTTGTTCTTTAAGAGTCTGCCAGAGGTATGACTTACAGTGGGTATGTCTAGGGTTTATAAGCTCTTAAAATTCTTTGGTGAATGCTTAGTAACTCGGTACAGACAAAATGAACCAAAGTAAAATCAACAGGATTGAAACAAAAATATTATCTGTAGATTTCAAGGCATTGGTTTAATATAGTGTAAGTTATTAAACTTAGAAAGGGTTAGGGTCGCAGGAATATTTTTTAATGGTAATTGAAACGATGTAGAGATGCATGTGTTTGCTCTACCAGCTTTCCTTCATTCAAAAGAGAATGAAAAAAGCAAATTTGTAATTTGATCCTGCATCTTTTTCACAGTCTTGCATCCGTCATAAGGGGCCAGGTATTAACTGCTGATGGAACGCCACTCATTGGAGTCAACGTCTCCTTTTTGCACTATCCAGACTATGGATACACAATCACGCGCCAAGATGGAATGTAAGTTCCCTTTGAAACGCTTCCAAGTCATAACAACAGCAAAGGCGTTACCGAGGAGCCGCTTGTGAAAAGAAGATAATAGTAAAACGGTGGAAACTAAAGACATGAAAAAAGTGATTGGCCAAAGTTGTACTTTGTACATTTGTCAAGTATAAAACATGCTGAGTATATACTTTAGAAATAGAAGGGATTGCTTAATTTAAATGCAGCGTCCCAAACTCTCCATTCTCTTAGTGAAGTATTGTGTAATATAATTTAATTGATTTCTCCATTGTACCCAGTAGAGCCATTCTGCCATCGGAGCAGTACAATGGAATGAAGAATCAGTCCATAAAATGTGGGCTACGGGTGGCTTTGGGAATTTGCTGACTGGCTAGCCCTGTTGGATTATTTATTTTTTTTAGGTTTGACCTGGTAGCGAATGGTGGTGCCTCTCTGACACTGGTGTTTGAGCGATCACCCTTCCTGACACAGTATCACACGGTATGGATTCCCTGGAACGTCTTTTATGTCATGGATACCCTGGTCATGAAGAAGGAGGAGAATGACATTCCTAGTTGTGATCTGAGCGGATTTGTAAGGCCAAACCCCGTTATCGTGTCATCACCTTTATCCACCTTCTTCAGAATTTCTCCTGAAGATAGTCCTATCATCCCAGAGACACAGGTAACGTGTGCTTCAAATAAATAGGCTAGTATTCACAGGTTACTGTTAAGCAACCATCATGAAAAGAGTGCAAACTAATGGTGAAAAACAAATAATTTTAACTAAGTGCTAAGAATTTGCAACATGTGTTTAGTTTCGGACCAGCACATTCTATGGGATGTGTTTTAAAATTGCATCTGAAAAAAAAAGTCTAAGAAAGCTCGGTGTACACCAGTGTTTAGTTTTATATCTGTTTGCAGCATTTCATTGACAGAGTGTCTTCAGCAATCAGCCCATCAAAACGGACACACTGCAGTACATCTGAATTTTTGACTGCTCTCTTATTAGAAGTTGCGCCTCAGAAACTGAAAACAAAAAGTGTTTTTCTACTATGCCTGAAAGACCCATACAGTTCAATTTTTCTGTTGAGTCTTAATAAATAGCATGACACTCAGATTTTATAAACTAGAAGAGCACTCTGTATCCCTGAGGACAGGCTTACAAACCAATGCACGTGTGCTAATCTACTTCTTCAGAACCTGTAATACCAAAAGTAAGAGTTAACATCAAAACCTTGCTTTGAAGAGGAAAAGCTGTGGCTGGAATGCTTTTTCTCTAACGTAGATGTAGTCAATTCCTCCATCTCAGATAAGTAATCATAATATAGTCTTCCTCAACTCCTAGAGATTTATTTCAAGGAGTAGTATTTTGTTGATCTCTGATAAAACTTTTCTGAGTGAAACAGCACTGTTTCTGTCTCCCTCTCCTTTCTCTCTCCCCTTTCTCTCCCTTTTTCTCTCCCCCACCTTCACAATGTCATGATTACATGGGGCAGTCTTTTTCCCATTCACTAAGAAATGTCCTTGTCTCTTCAAGGGAAACATAGTAAATGTATTCAAATGTTTTCATGCAGAGCTCTTAAGAAAAGAGTGAAATCATTAAGCAATTCATGGTAGGAGCAGGTTTAAAGTAAAGATGTATGGAAATTACAACTAAACGCTCATACGAATCTAGACTGCTAGGAAATTGTTGCTTTTAACCTCGCTATCATTTCTCTGCCTTTGATAGTTGCAAATCAATTAAAAGAAAGTATTTGCAAAACACAGTCCACTGGAAAACAGCTCTGATTTACTTGTTTTGGCAACAGATGATAGATTCAGTTCATGAAGTGATGGAAAATGGCTTAGATAGATGGGGTATAAATCAACAGAAAAGTAATAATAGAAGAATGTCAGAAAATAGCTATTTTTCAAAAAACATTGGTACTGTCTAGGTAAACAAGTCGTTTCATGAGCAGTGGGACTAATGAAGTCTGGATTCCTACTAATTCCCACCCATTGCTATAATTCCAACTATCTGCCACATCCAGTCCTTCCCTCCACAGACTGCATTCAGCCTTATTCTCATGGGAGTACCAGATTGGGTCCTTCTTCCCTACCTGACCCCTTTTTTTAATAAACCCCAAAGGTACTGTATTATCTTTAGAGGTTTCTACTGTTCTTTCACGTGTGGTTGAAAGTGGCTACCAGGTTCAAAAGTTATGAGGTGGGAGGTCTGACAGGCAGGACAGTTGGGTACAATTGATTTCCCTAGAAAACCAGACAGGAGGAAACATCATATTCTCCGCGGATCCTAGGCAGTTGGTGCTGATGGGTCATTTATGACAAGGTAAAAATAGTGCTGTCGTCATGTATGCAGAAATCTGGTTCTGGTACTGGGTAGAAAAACCATCAAGCAGTTGTTTTCTTCTATATTCTTTGCTCATCACACACGTAATCCCCTGCTTTGGCAAGTGGGAGCTGCACAGCCGTGCCTGGGACGAACCCTTTAGGGTCAGCTTCCCCTCGGAAATGCCTAATGCTCAGCAGTCTGTCTCCCAGGAAACTCACTGCTCTGATAAAAGATGGGCAGAACCAGGTTCCATTCAAAACTGTTCAGCTTGAGGGGAACTGCTGTACATCTTCCCATTAAAAAGGGGCAGTGCAGTTTAAAGTGTGGGAGACGGGATGAAGGCACAGAGGGGGAGACCGTAGCGCCCGTTCCTTGGGTCAGTATTAGTCACCCCGTTGGTGTGGTGTGACAGCACTCCCTGTCACGCCCCGCAGGAGAAAATGTGCTGCTGTAATCATCATCACTTCAAGTGCTTCATCACCCATCGGAGATAATGTTTCCAAAAGAGGGTATGTAGTGGTTTATGAATCCCAAGCTGATCAGAGCAGGAATTAAAGTCTGTACCAAAGAAGCGGCACAAAAGAAAACTGAAAAAAGGCAGCAGGCACGGGGAAAAACCAAACGCGGTGGGCAAGGGGGTGGTCACGGAACCAACAGATCATTGCTGAAGAGGGATGATAATAAACAACATGTTAACTAAATTTGGGCTACTTAGGCGTGACTTTATCTACCTTTAATTGGAAGTTAGCATGCTCTGCCTAGGCTTAACTAGCTGAGATTAATCAGCGTGTAACAAGACAGAAAACTGCACACGGATGAGGGAGATCAGGTTCAGCTGGAGCTGCTCCTGTGTGTTGGGTAATACTGTTGCTGTCTTTTTCGTAATATAATAGATGTCTGTTTGCCACATACTGCAGTGTGGTCTGGCAGAAACCCACCTGTGAGTCACAGCGAGCAGTTCTGAAATTGAGTTTTTGAGGCTTTCCTTCTCCTAAACTTCCTGTTATCCACTGTTATGTATGCTTGCAGGATACTTTCAGCAGGTCCCGAGCAGCTTGATTCTGTCACCTCCAGTGTGTGGGAGGATGAAGACTGAAAAGTTTTCCTTCACATTACATGCTCGAGGCTCCCCACTCTTTTTTTCCTCCTTCCCTCTCCCCTGACTCTCTCTCACCACTGGCAATACTCTACAGCAGAAGTTTGCAAGATGTATTTACCCACAAAAATTCAGGGTAAAATACAGGCCTCAGTAACTTAATAAAAATGATTGATTGTAACTTCAGGGTGGACAGATTTTCAGCAAAGGAATTAACCTATTCTACCATTTAAAAGGGCAGTATAATAGCATGTCTAGATATTCCAGCATTAACGGATGCTGCATCCCAGTTTCAGATAGCTAAAATCTCCAGAACGTCAACTTTCTACTGAGAAAAAAATGGAGATTGCTCTTAGAGCCAAATATCTCCATTTATCCATCCTTGTTTTCCAGCACATTTTCTGGTGTTTTTTTCTCTTGCTTTCTGTTTGAAACATTAGATACAGCTCTTAATTTATTCTCTTATGAACACGTTTTTAGGTTTCTACATGTTTATGGCTTTTTCCTATCCCTCTTCTCTGTGGTATCTCAACAATGTTTTAAGTCTAGAAAAAACAGGGTTTTTCTAGAAAAACAGGGTTTTTTCTCCCTTTTCATTTCTCCTTGGTTTGTATTCTTATGAGTTCTTTTAAGAGCCTCGGTTCTAGGGGAAGCCTTTTTTTAAAAAGAAAAAGGATTTTTCCATCTTGAAAAGAGCAGTTCCAGCTTCTGCCTAAAACAGTATAGTTTTACTGCTCCTTGGTCTCAATCTTGGTGTCATAGCAGTAGTTGCCAATACCTACCTTTATCTAAAAATGCCATCTTTACCCCTCTCAGACCAAGGTGATGTTATGTTTTAATGCAGCAGTTCAGCTGTTACGTTCTTTGCCAAGATGTTTTTCTGACACTAGGACTGAAGTTTGCACTCATTTGTGAAATTTGTTCTCAAATCCTCTATTGAAGTTGCTCATTTTGCCAAAAAAATCGCAGCAATACAGCTGACATCTTTCCTCCTAATTGGATTAAATTCCTTATTCAGGATTCTTAATAGCATCAGGGCATGTCACCTGCATCGTATTAGATTTTGGAGCAGGAAAGCATTCCAGAGTCCAGACAGCTTTAGTCCTGGCCACAAGAGATGAGGAGCCCTGCACAATTTATGTGACTCAGTCGCCAGCTTGAGCTCTCAGGGCAACAAACTCTGTCTTTGTGAAAATTGAGGTGACCCTTATCTCAGTCCTCTAGGTTAAATATTTCATGGCTGTCCTTCCGAGAAGCTCGATCATCCATAAATAAAATGCCAACCATTAGAGTTTGGTGGCTGGGCTATAACTCAGTCCCCTTAGGGTATCAGCCTTTCTGAAGGTAGTTTGATACTCTATCTGGAAAAGGTAAAGGACAGACAGCTTGGCTGTGTTGGTGATTCCTGATGTGACTTTTATACCCAGTGACTTTCCTGATTGCTTTACAATTGATGTGTTGTCATGGCTCCCATAGGATGCTCTCTGCTGTGCCTGATGAATTAACTTTTCAGATGAACATTAAACTGTTTAATTCTCTTTGTAATGCTTGATTCTGGGAGAGAGATTGAGATGCATAACCTTACCTCTACATTTCTAAAGTTCGCAAGAAAATCAGTTACTGCAGGGGATATTTTATGGAAAGAAGGAAGTTGTAAGTCAGATTTCCAGCAGATACTTGAGGCTTTTGCAGAAACTAACAATAGGGGTTCGGGTTTTGGTTTAAACTTCACTGAGAACTGCGTGAGTGTCCTAGTTTCTAATTTGATAGTAATCCAAATACACAGTGGAATTTCTTGGAAATTGAAACTTCAAGGTGTCCTCTTTATTGCCCGTTATCTCAGCCAAGAGTACTGGAAGACCACCTAAGTGTTTAACGCTACTCTTCCACAGTTGCAGTGGTAAAAGAAGCGATGGTCGTAACAGGAGACCAGTGAAGTCCGTTAAATTGTGCCCTATTACCAGCGTATTATTGCTTTTTCTCCTCTTGCTTACAGAAACCTCCATCTGTTAGCCTGGTTTAATGTGCACTATATGGGAGTCCTGCTGATGTCTTGAGGAGAAATTTGTCTTCTGTTCCTAGGTGGTTTGTGGTTTTCCTCCAAAGTCTTAGGAAAGGAATATGTTCACAGCCACTTATCTCTCTAGAGAGAGGGGTTTTGTTTGTGTAGAAGAGATTTGCTTGTTCTCTGGGCTTAGATGCTGTGCATATCCCTGCACTGAGGGAGAGCGGGCTAGATTTACGAACAGAAATTGTGCCACTCTCACCTCCTTCCAAGTGGTGGTACTGCTTGTCATTTCTTCTCAGTGATGGCAGGTTTTTGGTGGGGGAGAAAAAAAGAAACATTCAAAGATTAAGAATTTTTAAATCAGAGTTTAAATTGTCTGCACTTCCTACAGCCCTGTTACAGTCTTACTGGAGAAGAAGAGTTGCATGCCTACACACATCAGCTGTAAATAACCATTCACGACAGTCAATGAGTCAAAATACTACTTCTGATTTTTTGTTACTGTTTTTGGGAAGGAGATAGATATAATTAATACCGTATAAATCTCTCTTTATGTCCAAGAAAAAATGCTGACATAGAGGATGGTGCAGCATCTGTTGCCCTCAAGAGAATAAACCACATTATTTGACTCTGTTCAACACAGATTCAGTTGTTTAAAAGCAGTGTTCAAGGATTTCTCTAGCACAGAGAGGTAACTTAGCACTTAGTAGCCAGCTTTCGATCCCACTGAAGTCTCCAGCCTAATATTTGTGACATTGCTCTCCCAGTGGAAAGTCTGCTTTCCACTAGTATTAATTAGTTTGGTCTTCATATTTCAGGACGAGGAGATGAGACAGTAAAATAAAAGCTTTCCAAATTTACTTCTCCAAGAGTGCTCCTTTGACACCACCAATGCTCTGGGCTTGTACTTCAGCGTCCTTTGCCCTCTCTTCCCACCAGAGAAACATTATACAATCACAGAATCATAGAATGGTTTGGGTTGGAAGGGACCCCAAAGACCATCCAGTTCCAACCCCCCTGCCATGGGCAGGGACACCTTCCACTAGACCAGGTTGCTCAAAGCCTCATCCAGCCTGGCCTTGAACACTTCCAGGGATGGGGCATCCACAGCTTCTCTGGGCAACCTCTCCCAGTGCCTCACCACCCTCTCCGGAAAGAACTTCTTCCTGATATCCAATCTAAACCTCCCCACTTTCAGTTTAAACCCGTTACCCCTTGTCCTGTCACTACAGGCCCTTGTAAAAAGTCCCCCCCAGCTTCCTTGTAGCCCCTTCAGGCACTGGAAGGTGCTATAAGGTCTCCCCGGAGCCTTCTCTTCTCCAGGCTGAACAAGCCCAACTCTCCCAGCCTTTCATCATAGGAGATGATTATCTTTATAAATGTGTCTGGATACCTTTTTCTTTCTTTTTCAATAAGCTAGGATACTTGGGGGCTGTTCACCTGACGTGCTGGCTCCCCGTGTTTATGTCCTGACTGAGGTATAGGGTGTCTTCATCCATGTTATGCAGAAACCTTTCACTTCCATCCATCACCCACGAAAGCTCCTCAGCTCAGAGGGAAAGACAAGGTAGAGGGGGGGAGGAACCTTTGAAAAATAAAATTGAATCATTGCACCTCTCTGAAATGAGAAAGTGGTGAGCTGATGTCTGAGTAGTGAATATTGATCAGGAAATATGGAAAAGCTTTCCCTGAGGCATCCTACTTATCTGTCTTCGAAATAAATGGAAGAACGCTCCGGTTCAAAGTATTTACAATCCACAGGTAATGCAAATAATAAACCACCTAGAAGTCCTTCCTGCTCCTGCAGGAGCAATTAGACATCCCAGGCCAAATCTGAAGCCAGTCTTTGTGGTGCTGAGAGGCTCTGCTGCCTTCATTACGTATCCATAACTGGGACATGGGTGGCAGCTGAAGAAGAGGCTGTTTTCACTTAGATGAAGGATGCTTTTTTGCCTCTTCGGAAAAAGCAGTTGGGAAAGTTTTCCTTCTCCTACTTGCTTCCTTTCCCTCATAAAAATAAAGGAGGGACCTTGAAATACTTTAGCAGAAAGTATCAACTAAGCAGCTTCAGTATAACATAGAATTTAGACTTTGCTTTTCAGAAAAAAAAGGTGAAATCTTGTTATTTCATAGAATCATGAAATTACAGAATGGTTGGAAGAGGATTGGAAGGGACCTTGAAGACCATCCAGTTCCAACCCCCCTGCCATGGGCAGGGACACCTTCCACTAGACCAGGTTGCTCAAAGCCTCATCCAGCCTGGCCTTGAACACTTCCAGGGATGGGGCATCCACAGCTTCTCTGGGCAACCTGTTCCAGTGCCTCACCACCCTCTCTGGGAAGAACTTCTTCCTGATATCCAATCTAAATCTCTCCTATTTGTTTATGTATTTTTTATTAACAGAAGACCAGATTTAGGTGATTCTTGCTAATGGATTGTCACGTAGAATCATGCCAGGTCTCCTTTTATGATAGCTGCATTGTTCTTTTTAATTTCAAAATCATTCAAATACTCCATTTTTCTCTTACCGATGCATAGGTCCTTCATGAAGAAACGACCATACCAGGAACCGATCTGAAGTTATCATACTTGAGCTCCAGGGCTGCAGGATATAAATCTGTTCTGAAGATTACCATGACCCAGTCTGTTATACCATTTAATTTAATGAAGGTTCATCTTATGGTGGCAGTGGTGGGAAGGCTTTTCCAAAAATGGTTCCCTGCATCCCCAAATCTGGCTTACACCTTCATATGGGACAAAACTGATGCATACAACCAGAGAGTCTATGGATTATCTGAAGCTGTTGGTATGTATGTTATGGGTTTTTTTTCATTTTTACTGTTGTCTTGAACATAAGGAAGCACATCTCAGATACTTGTATCTGTTAAGTAGAAAATGTTTAGCAAAATCAGATGAGAAAAAAGAATGGATATTAAAATATATTAATCTAAACATTGAATTGTAAGACAAAAGTTTTTTTTTAAAGGAGGAAGAGACCACAGTCATTTTTCACTTCTAGGTCTTCCCAAAGAAGTAGCCCTCGGCCTGTCCTAATGGTACCTGTCCTAATCCACTTACTTTCAATAACTGAAATTATTTTAATAACCCAAATTTGCCTTTTAAAGGATTTTGGAGTTCTGTTTAGTATTTTCAGTACATCCAAGGAAGCCACAGGTAGCCTGGGAGAGCACAAGAACATATGTACTTTAAGGAAATCGCATTCTTTACAAGATCCTGGACTTAATGAGGAAATTTTCTGTTATTTCAGTGTCTGTAGGTTATGAATATGAGTCTTGCTTGGATCTAACTCTCTGGGAAAAGCGGACTGCCATTTTGCAGGGTTATGAACTGGATGCCTCCAACATGGGCGGCTGGACGTTGGATAAACATCATGTATTGGATGTGCAGAATGGTAAGAGGTTCATTTTCTTCTCGCTGATTTTAATACTCAACTTCCCTGCATGTTAGGAACCTCATTCTAACTTTTTTAACGTTTGCTTTGTTATTTTAAAAAAGGAACTTATGGACTGTTATGCATATGGTAAATGCTTTGAGCTTTACAGTATATGTCATGTTTCTTCATCCTACAAATACATATGCATTAATAATTTTGTCTGACAGTGTCAGCCTGCGTTAGATATACTTACCAAAAAAAAACCCAATCCAAAAATTTTTGAATGGTTTTTAAAAACTGCCTGATGCTAAGGAGACACTGCTTCTAAAGCAGTTGTACACCTCAGCATCCTTAGTGGGATTAACTGTATGTTAACGGTATCTAGAACAATGTTTTCACTTCCATTTGTCACCGTGAGTGAAAATTAAATCGCAGTAAGAGCCAAACTGAGAGCTCTTTGCGGCCCATTTTAAATCCCTCACTTAAACAGGAGACATTCCTCTTCATGTCAGGGTATCCCCAGCCCCAGCACAGCTGCTCGTGGGACCAGTTAGCGCATGGGTACCATCTCTTCTGGAGGATGAGCCCTCACTGATACTCTCCTCCCATTCCAATCCTTCCCTGAGATGAATCCTCCCCAGGATGCTGGGGTGGGCTCAGCACACAGCAAGGGGCGGATGATGCTGCCTTGAGTCAGCGAGGGCACTCGTGCCCCTTGTTTCAGGACAGTCCAGTTGCTAGTGAGTGAGTTGGTCTTAAGGACGAGGAGCATCCCAAGGTTGAGGAGCAAGGACGAGGAGCAATGCCCATTTGTGAGAACTGTGCCTCAGCTCCAAGGTGAATTTGTGCAGTCCAGTACGCAGCCGCTGTCTGGAGGGTGCCCTGCTAAGGACGCCCCAGCTCAACACTGAACAGGAGGAAATTTGTAAAAAATGGGCTGGAAGCACGTAAGAAGGGCAAAGTGAGCAGAGCCTCGAGGTGAGAGTTGGCCGCAGGAGGTTCTTCTGCAGCGCAATTCAGCGGGGAGAATGTCACTTCTGCAGTACCCCGTGTCCCTTGGGGGTGTCCACTGGTGCCTGAGCTTATTTTGTGTGACCTGCGGGTCACCACCGAAAGCATTGCTTCTGACTGGCAGAAAAACAAGGTAACCAAATCAAGGGAAAAGGTGTCATTGCACCTAACTTAACATGTCAGAAAGTCCCTGTGCAGATTATTCCAAGGTAATCCATCTGAAAATACAAAGAGATTATAAATATATACATACAAGATTGTTTCCGTTCAGGAGGTAAATTGATGGTGGCCTTAAATTACGTTCACGAGTACGTTTGACAAGTAATGACTTTTCAAAGTGACATGTGTCTAATTGCATAAATGGGTGGAGAGTTGTCATGACAAGGTGGATGAGCTGGAGAAATTCATCCAGAGGAGAGTGCAGACGGTGTTTGTGCGGACACCCCAAACTGCTGCAGTAAATAGTCTAACGTCTACCTTCCCGTCTGTGATAACAGAGGAGAAGTGTGAAGGCCCAATTTTTCAAGGTAATGACAGAATGAATCAGGTGCCGTAGTGCACTGTGCTGACTTGTAGAATTCCTTTGATGAAAATTATAGAACTCGGATGTTTCAGGCAAAATTATGGTGCCATGATTGTCATAGATGATGTAATCATAGGAGAGGGGATTTCATATACAGTTAATGCATTCTGGCTTTAACTATTCATGAAAAATACGTTCTCCCTCTTCTGATTTAGATTGCTTATTTAGATTACTTGCTGTTAGCTTTCCATAAACCATTTTCATTCTTGCTGATTTTATCATCTATATTGATTTGGCATTTATAATCTCCTAAATTTTATAACATTAAAAAGTAGCAAAGGCACCTGAAACAAAGAGGAAAACAAAGTATTTTTTCTTCTGTCTTTCGGGATAAAGAGTGCATTTTGGGGGTGGGAAGAGAAAAAGGAATACATCTGAAATTTCTTCTAAAGATCTCAGAAGAGAAATGTATCCCTCAGCCCCAAACTGCCTGTGAAACTCTGGGCACACAATCGATAGAACACGTGTCACTCTCAAGTACCAAGCGACATGTGGTTTTCATGGATTACACTACGGAAAGACGCGTTGTGATTAGGAGTAAAGCCATAATAGCTGACCATTTGTGGAGTACACCTCAATGGATTCTTGGAGAGAGAGATAATAATGAGGGTCCTGGCAGCATTTTAACGCACCGTAAATGCACTAAGACTGAAGATTTAGCATAAAGCACGCATTTTTCTTCCCAGATTTCCTATGGAGTCTATAAGGAAGAAAAATACTGCTGGCACATTGCTTTGTCTTCACAAAATTATTGTTCCTTTCATGCCTCAAAGCAGAATTAAGTTTAAGAGGCAGGTTGGCCTGGCACCACATTTTTTTTGTTGTTTTGACATTTTTAATAACTGCCTATAACTGCAGACACAGTATTGAGGCAGACTTTTTTGCCAGAGGTACGTTTTTATTGTGAGCTGAGTAAAGAGTCTTTTATAATGTAAAATTGAGGCGATCTCCCAACATTCTGAAGTAGTGCTTTAATTAATATTTACAATTTGCAGCAGTAATCCACTTCCAATTACATTTGACATCAAATTCATAATTAGTTATAGTGGGACTTCAGGAATACAATTTGCAAATACATTTTTTGTTTTCTTACAGTATAAGCAAAGTTAGAATTTCAGTCGTTTCTGGGGAGTTTCAAAATTGTAAGGATTTAGGAACATAGACTTTGATTTCATTCAGTACACCTTGCATTTCCTTCCACATCACAGTTTTTATTTTGAATTATAACTATTAAAATTATTAACATTTAAAACTAAGAAGGATTGAAAACTTGTTTGGATTTTAAATGCTAGTATATTTAGTGTTTCTGCTACATTTTGTGGACAAGATAACTCAATGCTTTGTGCATATTTTTGGGTGTCTGTGACTTGCATATAACTATAAATGTTTTAATAAATTTCTGTTGCTTGAAGTGACAAAAATATGGTGGTGAAACAATTTAAAGTGCATTAAATTATATCAATCAACTGAAAGAATATTTAGAAAACTTATGCATCGTTTTATGTACATACATTGAAAGTTTCTCTAAACTATTTTTTATTTGTGTTTTTTATATTATCTGCCAGGAATCCTCTACAAAGGAAATGGTGAAAATCAATTTATATCTCAGCAACCCCCGGTTGTTAGTAGCATTATGGGCAACGGGAGACGGCGCAGCATCTCCTGTCCAAGTTGTAATGGTCAAGCTGATGGTAATAAATTGCTGGCTCCGGTTGCCTTAGCTTGTGGGATTGATGGCAGTCTTTACGTGGGGGATTTCAACTATGTTCGGCGGATATTCCCATCTGGAAATGTAACCAGTGTTCTGGAGCTAAGGTATGGTTTTTTCTCATCTCAGAGTGTTGGAGTTGTGAATCGCTGTTGCAAACTAAAGTATGGAGTAGATTTATGACACTGTGTTTCCAAATGCTTTTGGGAACAAAAAGAGTTGAGTCAAAAGATTTTAATACATTTGAAAAAGTATTTAAAACTGAAGTGAAAAAAATTTTACCCTGGTAAAATATTTTAACTGTGCTTGTCTAAACTCTGAGAATTTAATCTACCCAAAGTAATTGTTCTGTGGATTTTAAGAGTTAACCTGCGTAGTCGACGTGAGCGGACAAAAGATGGACATTCAGCACTTCACTAGTGACAGATGTAAATGTTGCCTTCTATTCCTCTTTTAACATCCTTTCTGAATGTTTTTCTAATCATGCTTTTCTGTTCTTTTTTACTTGCTCCCACCAAGAAATAAAGATTTTAGACATAGGTAAGCATTCCTTCAAGAAGATTTATATTTTTCTAACTGTTCTTTTTTCTTTTTTAACAAATGAATGCTTATGATGGAGAAGTCATTTATGAGATGTATTAGAAAAGAGGAGTATTTTTCAAAAATAATGAGTTCATATGTTTTAGTTATGTCAGCTGTCAGGCTGGATCGTCTTTTCGGATACGAGTTCCTCTTTTCTCATCACTCTCTGTCCACAGTCAGACTTCTTTTTATGCTTGTGTGTGCCCTCCTTTGCTGTCCCCTCGTCTCTGCTCATTCCTGTTCCTTGCTGGCAGCACTTTTGCTGATCCTGTCAGAATTCACTCATTAAGCAGATACCCCAAATATTATGAGTGGCATAAAAGTAATAAAATCATACAAGTATGAAGTGAGTTCATTTCATTAGCCTTTTGATGTTGAGTCTTCTTGGAGTCTCATTTAACGTATTTGTTTCTTTAAAGCTGACCTTCTCTTAGTGATGAGAGTTGGAAGTGTCCCATGACAACACCGCTCTAGGAGTTAAGATTTTAAAGTACACTGAGATTCCTAAGACTGGTCATAAAAACAACAGTAATCTGAAAGATTGTAGTTCAGCATTCGTCCGTCCTGGCATCGCTACAATAGTGGCAAGAACGGAAGAGAATCATAGAATCATGGAATGGTTTGGGTTGGAAGGGACCTTAAAGACCATCCAGTTCCAACCCCCCTGCCATGGGCAGGGACACCTTCCACTAGACCAGGTTGCTCAAAGCCTCGTCCAGTGGTGGCTGCTTAGAATTGCTGTACCACAGTAGCTGGTGCTGATGGGGAGACAGGCACAGAGTTGTGCTGAAAACTTGCTGGGTGCGTGAAACCCTGCAAGACTTTGTGGTGGAACTGCCTAGTGCAGGGCTTAGCAGCCCTGCTGGTCCCTTTCTCCCCGTTCTTGCTGCCAGTCGTTTCCCTTCCTTGTTTTTAAACAAATCCCAGGAAGTCATATCTCTGTTCTCCTTTTATGTCCTTTGCTTTGCACATACTTCTTTATGAGGAAGGGTTTTATGTTTAAAAATGTATGTTTCAACACATTAGGCAAAACATTCCATGATTAAGTAAGACGGTTGTGTCAGTGCTCATGGTCAGAATTGGGAGCTGCTGCAGTCTAGCTGGTTTTATGTTGTTTTCCAGGTGTGATTCCAAGGCAGTCTCTTCTATTTGGTGCTTTGAGGTTTTCACTATTACACTTAATTGGCATTTGTTCCACTACCTTAAAAAGAATTCTGTCGCTTTTGGTATCAAAGTTGTGATTACAGCTGGGTTAGACATGTCTTGGCAAATGAATCGAGTACGGAATGATACTCAAAACGGGGATTTGGAATGGACAAACGGGATTAAGGAATGGAGGCGTAGTGAGGTTCGTTTCGCTGTCATTTAGTAGCGACTCCCTCTCCTGTCTCCGTCTGAGTGTCAGTGGTCACAGGTTCAGCTGCAGCATTTCACAAACCGCATCCCTGCATGTAAGAAAAGCCAGGGGGGGACGTGGAAGCTTCTCTCCTTTGTTCATGCCTACACGTGCAGAAGCTCTGGCTAGCGAAAGCGCGGTCTCATTTCACAAATGAGCCTAGTGACAATTCCACGGGCTCGTGTGTCGGCTGTGAAGTGGGGGCTCCTCCTGAGGGTGAAGGAGCCGGGGAGGACCGTGGAGAACTGGCTCTGCAGGAGCAGTGGTGGAGCCAGTGGGCAGGAGGTGTGAAACCCGCTGGGCAGCCCTACTCAGACTACTACAAGTCTGAGTTTTCTCTCCCATCATACAACATCTTCCCAGTGCCCACTCTTAGAGGGTTTTGCTGCTCAGGGGCTTCCTAAGCCAAGAGCAGCATCTTTATATTTTAATATCCACTGACAGCTTTTTATTCTGTTAATTTTACTGAACACGTGTAAGCTTTTAGGATCCACCACATCCTGTGTCTGTGGGTTCCCCAGCACAGGGACAAACCATGAGACCCAAGAGCTTCTTTTGCCTGTGTGAAGTCGTGTGGAGCCCTGTGAAATGCTGGGATTTCGTTGTAAATGGCGGTTTGGCAGACAGCCCTCAACAGAGCACCTTGCGATACGTGATTACGAGGTATCAAAACTAAGAAATGGCACTCAAATACGCATTCAGCAAGTAGAACTAGTGAACGAGGCTAAATACTAGTCCAGGTCTGTTGTCTGTTCAAGCATTGAACTTTCTCACCTATAAACAGAGTGCTTGCTGCAGCACTCTGATGTGCCTCCCACCTCAAGGAGCCTGTACTCTAAATGAGAGAGACAGTGCAGATCAAATTCATCCTCTCAGGTGCCAGCGACCTAACATTTTTTCAATCTCAAAGCTGAGCCGATGTTTATGCACGCTGCTGCCTGTGGGTGATTAATGCTGATAAGCATTCATGGAAGAAGTCATTTTTAGAAGGGCTTTGAAGGCAGGGAGGTCATTTGTAGGCTATGGCAGTATCCCAAGTCTGTAGAGAGACGGGAAGAAAGTTTAGCAAAACATAAAACCAGCTTTGAGGGTATATGGTTTAGAAGGCACAGAGAGAGGGAGGCTGAAGGAGGAGGAGGATTTTTTAAAAACACGTGCAGGGAGAGTGATGCAGGCGACGTGACAGCTGAAGAATTAAAAATTCGGTGTAACCAAGTTAAGATTACGCAGCGGGAAGTAGATCGTTACAGCTCTGCGCGTGTGTGCGCCTCCAGTCTGAAGCGCTGTTGCTATGATTTGGCATAGGCGGAACAAGGTAATTTGTAGTCGTTTGTCTTTCTGGGAGCCCGCATTGGTGTGCAACTGGGTGTTTTTCAGAGCTGCTGACAGCGATTAGGCACTACTGAATGAGTCAAGAAGTCGCCAACTGTGGATTTTACTTCTTGGAGTTTGTTGATATTGGTGGAAGGCAGAATCTTAATATTATTTCAGGCTACAGCGCAGTAGAATAAGCTCTGTGCAGCTTTCCAACTGCTGGCTGCTTATCCCTCTACTATTTCTGAGATCTGCATAGTGTGTGTAGATGTTTTCTGGCTGGAGAACAAACGTGCTTTTCACTGGACAGTTAGTCAGTCCCTCAAATTGTGCGTTGCCTCTGTGAATTAATGGATCTCTTTAATCACCTAAAGCTACCTCAGCTTTTTAACCTTCACTTGAAAAGAAATGCTGAAGTTAAGACTGTTTTATTGTCTCAGAGCCATTACGCATCTACGTATGACAAATTAGAGAGTTTATATTGATTCAGTAATAATATCCTAGGCACTCCCGAGAGAAAATACCCCTCAATTTTCACCTGATTATTTTGTTTTGATGAGGATACGCTACTCGCTCTGAGAACCCGTCCCAAATAAGAAGAGCTATGTCATTTTTGTTGGAATTAATTAAAACATAGAAATGTTTCCATATTTATGAACAAAACACCTTTTGAAATTCTTTTTCGAAAGATATAATTGTTAGGCATAAATTACCTATTTATTGATTTGATGCCTGTTCCAACAACTGAAAACTATGATTGAGGCACTGTTCGCTCTGAGAACCCATCCCAAATAAGAAGAGCTATGTCACTTTTGTTGGAATTAATTAAAACATAGAAATGTTTCCATATTTATGAACAAAACACCTTTTGAAATTCTTTTTCGAAAGATATAATTGTTAGGCATAAATTAGGCATACCTAGTTATTGATTTGATGCCTGTTCCAACAACTGAAAACTATGATTGAGGCACTGTTAGATGAGTTGAAGTACTTTTAATTTAGACTTTAATCATATAAGACAGGACTTTGTTTTAAATTCCAACAAAATGAAATTAAGTCACACATGGCACATTTTGCAGTGTGTTCGTATTTGAAGTGTCTGCAAAGTTTCTTAAAGCCCAAGGTAAACATGTAAATGGGTATAATTTAATTTGCAGTCTGTGGCGGTGTAAATAATTCGTACACTGCGTAGGGATCCCATAAACGGTCTCTGCATAAATTAAGGTTTCAGAAGTATTTAGCACATTGGCATTAATAGATTTCTAATGGGCAGAAATTTAAAGTAAGCCTACATTTAATTGTTTTCAGGCATGCCGTACAGCACTCGGCTGTATAGCAGAGCTTTTAAAGAGGTGCTAATCCCTGTGTATTTGATTTCATTAGTCTGCTTCACTTGGTTTCTTCATTCTGAACCAACATGTTAAGAGTCGTAAAACCAAAGAGAATCCTATTTATGCAACACATTTATTCTGTGTTTCTGCAATTGGATAGCTATAAAAATCTGTCCCTGCTAAAACACGTAATTTGTTCACAAGTTGTTCCTGTTGGCCTCTTGCTGCTTCTTCCGAGTGGCAGTACATAAAAATGTGTTACATTAGCGCAGTTCTGTATTTACAAAACGTGAAGTGTCGCATTCCGCAAACAGGTGCTTGGCGATCACCGCGACTGGGAGATCTTCTTAAGCAGCGCCTTTGCAAACATCTAAAGTGGGACGGGCTGTTCTGACACTCTGCTTCAGTCCATTAGGAGAGCATCTGAAATTGCCTCCTGTATTTACATGACCTTATTTCAGCTCTTTGTGCCATAAATTAGGTCAGGAATCCCAGCTGCAGCGGGTTAAGTTTCTACATCATCATATATCAACCCAAAAGGTCCTCTCCGGGACTGGGTTTTTCACCAGCGGGGGAGAAAAGACAGTAATTCTCAATTATGTGGCACCAGTGGAGAGGCAAAATGTACGTTTCTGGGAAAATGGTTAGCAATATATATTTTCACTGTAATAAAGACTGTGCTGGCATAGTGAGCGGTTCTGTGCCAATGTGTACAGTCATTTGAAATATGAGTCTGAGTTAAGAAGAAGGGAAAAGCTCTGCTCGGTGCTCTGGTGGAAAAGATGACATTTCCTAATGTGTTAAATCATGCGTATCACATCTTTGAAAGCAGTGGATTAAACAAATACTTATGAAGGATGTCTTATCTCTTGCCTGTGAACTAATAATACGAACTCTGCCTTATCTGTTTATGAATTATATAAGCCGTGCACCCCAGCAGCCGTATATGAATTACAGTAAAACAGATGGGATGATAACGGCAACAAAGTGTAAGCGAGGGCTGGGGTCACGCTGCGAAGTTTGGAACTGGGTGAAGGTTCCCAGAAAGCCTGGGAGTTTTTAGACTCCACTATTCTGATCTGGCCTATTACAGAGACAGAAGCTGTCTCTAATCACAGAGTACAGGACAGGCTTCTGAGCATTCCGGACAAAATGCATCTTCTGGCCCAAAAGGATGCGCAGCCCGGATTGGACGGCGCATGACACAGGCAAGAAACGAGATCCAAGGAAGAGTTTGGGGCCAAAACCTATTCTACCTGTGCCTAGAGCATCACCACTGGTTTTAACGATTTGTGTATCACGGCACGCGGTGTGTGAACAGAAAGCTTCTCTTGATCCAGTGTTGGGTGCAATTAATTACAGCGTATGCAATGTATGATTCCGTTTTGCAGCAACAACCCAGCTCACAGATACTACCTCGCCACTGACCCCGTGACAGGAGACTTGTACGTTTCCGACACAAACACGCGCAGGATTTATCGGCCCAAGTCGCTCACGGGTGCGAAAGACCTGACCAAAAACGCTGAGGTAATCGGAGGAACAGGGGAGCAGTGCCTACCGTTTGATGAGGCAAGGTGTGGTGATGGAGGCAAGGCGGTGGAGGCAACTCTCATGAGCCCTAAAGGTAAAAAGAGTTATCCCTCCGTAACTTTGCAAATAATACGAAAGTTCAGAGCCAGGGGCGTGATTGTGTTTAATTACTGAACCTGGTAGTTGGCTCAGAAATGTGGGTTTGAGTAATTATTTCCAACTGGAAAGAAGGAAGACAGCTACAGAGTACCGGGGTTGGCTTTTTCTGAAATATCTGGGTTTCATGGTTACTGAGCATTTTTAAATGCTCATCTAGATTACGTGTTTGGGAAAGTTTTAAAATCAGTGGTGCTTTTGGTCCCACTTACTCCATTTTTCAGGTTAACCTCAAAGCTAGGCCCTTCTCAGCGTACCACCCAACGACCAGCAAAAGCAAACAGGAGTAGATTTCATCCTGAACACTGGTTTATTATCCAGAAGGTGTTTACAAGCTGGTTTACTACCTGCTGCCTGAGACCATGTGTTCTACCCTTGATTTCCACTAGCGACATACTGCTCACGCCCTTAGTTACGGCTGATGCACTGACTGCTAGTAGAAGGGACTTCATTTCTCTTCTCTTCACTAAAGGAATCGCGATCGACAAGAACGGGCTAATCTACTTTGTTGATGGGACCATGATCAGAAAAGTGGATCAGAACGGAATAATATCCACGTTGCTTGGCTCCAACGACCTGACCTCAGCACGACCTCTGACCTGTGATACCAGCATGCACATCAGCCAGGTACTTTCGTGCCGCTGCTCGTTTGGAAAGCTCAGCTGGGGCTGGAAACGCAAATCCAGCTTTCTTGCCCCGTAAAATAAAACTGGGTGGAGCACATAATGGATGTTTAACACCAGAATCTGGGGAGATGGAAACCTATTCCAAGGGCGTGAATCGCAGTGTATTCTCAGCTATAAATGCTGCTGTATTCAATTTTTCTGCCCATAAAGTTCAGTTCAGTTTAGAGCAGCAAAACTATCGGCAGGAAACATTAAGTCTGGTAGTAAATAGTAGGAGAATGGCAGATCTGTTAGAACTATCTTGGCACATTGATGTTTTCGGAATCGCTGGCATCCTTAGCCTACTAGAGTGAAAGAGGGGATATATACAAAAGGACGTGGTTTTGTCTCAAGAAGCTTGGGTAGGTAAGAAGGGACATCACTAGTGGTATGCATAATCTGGAAGGTAGTAAGTTATTTTTGGTGTTACGAGAATAAAAGATGAATACTGTCCTTAAAATACACGTTTAAACTTTGATATCTGTCTCTATTTTTATTTATGCATTTGTGATACAGGAAAGTATAGCATTTATCGGAGGGGAAATTCAACCTGTATTACAGTTCCGATGCAACTGGCTGTCTGCCAGTCAAGCAGGGGACTGAACGTTGTTCCCCTTGCCTCCCTGCACGGCGTCAGTTTGCCCATGTATTTTCATGCAGGCCTTTTTGTTGTCATTGCTGACAGCAGCTGAAAAACACCCTGACAGCAGTGTCTAAAACTGAAGATGAACGAGTTTGTTTAATCTGCACCGGTGAACTGCTTAACAAAACACTTCTCTCTGTTCAGGTTCGTCTGGAATGGCCTACAGATTTAGCTATCAACCCCATGGACAACTCCATTTACGTTCTGGATAACAACGTAGTCTTGCAGATCACTGAGAACCGTCAGGTTCGCATCGCTGCGGGGAGGCCGATGCACTGCCAGGTTCCCGGGGTGGAGTACGCGGTGGGAAAGCACGCGGTGCAGACGACGCTGGAGTCGGCCACGGCCATTGCCGTGTCCTACAGCGGCGTACTGTACATTACAGAAACTGATGAAAAAAAGATTAATCGGATAAGACAGGTCACAACTGATGGAGAGATCTCATTAGTTGCCGGAATACCCTCGGAGTGCGATTGCAAAAACGATGTCAACTGTGACTGTTACCAGAATGGAGATGGCTATGCTAAAGATGCCAAGCTTAACGCCCCTTCCTCCTTAGCTGTGTCTCCGGATGGCACGCTGTATATTGCTGATCTGGGAAATATCAGGATACGGGCTGTGTCAAAGAACAAACCCTTACTGAATTCAATGAACTTCTATGAAGTTGCTTCTCCAACTGACCAAGAGCTTTATATCTTTGATGTCAATGGTACTCACCAGTACACTGTGAGCTTAGTCACCGGAGACTATCTGTACAACTTCAGCTACAGCAACGACAATGACATTACTGCGGTGACGGATAGCAATGGGAATACTCTTCGCATCAGGCGGGATCCCAACCGGATGCCAGTAAGAGTGGTCTCTCCCGATAACCAAGTCATCTGGTTGACGATAGGCACCAATGGCTGTTTGAAAAGCATGACCGCACAAGGGCAGGAGCTTGTCTTGTTTACCTACCACGGCAACAGCGGACTTCTGGCAACTAAAAGTGACGAGACTGGATGGACCACTTTTTTTGAGTAAGTACATAAAGACAAGACAAATGCCTTAGAGTTTTACTGAGTTACGCGGTACCATTTGAAATATTTCTGGAGACTGCTGAAGTAACTGTAAAGGTGATCCCTGATACCAAAATGCACGGAAAGGTGCTTTTTGTTAGCCATGCTGTCTCCCTCAGTCTGTCGTCTTCTGAACAGGGGGGCTGAATAATTTAGAATTCATTATTTTGAATTTCAGTTTTACATATTGAAATAGTAGTGAGACAACATTTCACTCTTGTCAAGAAAGCTGTAACACGAGACAACCACGATTTTGTAGATTTGCATCAAAAACTAGATTTTCATCCCATTTGCTCATTAGATTGACATTGTTCTGCAGTAAATACTGACAAGAAATTTGTCTTCACTGCTCAAAAATAATTTTTTTCTTCCTTTTTCCTAAGTAAAAGCATGTCTGCATGGTCTTTCACCAAAAAAAAAAAAAAGGATGGATGAGTGGTTTTTGGTGGTCGTAAAAAGCTGTGTTTGACTGCATGGCAAATAAGCAGGATCTCCTGGATGACATGGCAGTCCACACAGGTGGACCCGGGCAGAGGAAGCGGAGGAAAGCAATGCGGGCCATGGGGGGGAAGTGTCGTTCCTGTAGGAATAAGCTGAAAACACAGAGACCACCAGCAGCGTGTGGCATACAGGTGCGAGCACAGCAGCGAGAGGTATTACCCCAACAGTAGGACTTGTGGTTTTACCAACCGCAGAAAAAATCTTTTCAGTGAATTGCTTTACCCTGTGTTACAGTCGTTAAGTCATCAATGCCTGCTCATAACCGCCAGATTAGCAAAACGTTTCACAGAATCCTCAGTTACACTGAGTAAGGAAGGTCATGGAATTTATAGGTAAATGAGTAGAACGTGGGAGTTCACTTGTGGGTTTTATGGGCAACTTCATCCCCAAATGAGCTGGGCTACACACTGGGGCACCAGAGAATGTAACAAAAATGCAGCTTAAAACACAAACAGCTCATTTCAAAAAAGATCGATTTAGGCTTAACACAGATTTTTTTCAGTCGTCTCTGTCAACGGGAAAAACGTGTGTATTTTTAAATCGCATGGAGGATGCTAAGGTTGGGTAAAAATGTGTCTGTGACGGGGTGGAAGATGGAGAGTTAGTACGGCAAGTGCTAGAGGTCCCCCAGCTGTTGTGTTCAGGATGACAAAGGGCATCATGAAAATCCAGTAAGTCCCTCTTCTTTTTATTTTTTTCCCCTCTTCTTTTCTCCTATCTTTATGATGAAATGCAGTAGCAACTGCTGCCAAGGTCAGGGCCCAAAAAAAAAAGCTTTCAATTCAACACACATGATAAAGAAAATAAAGTGCCGGTGTCAGGCAGTGGCAGCAAAGCCAAACATCTGTGTTCTGAGATAACTTCCCCTTTCTGTCAGCGCACGTTTGGCCGAGGCGGTGTGCAGGGGGGCTCTGAGCACCTGTATCTGCTCTCCAGCCTCTGCAGGCGCCCGCCCGAGACACGAGAGCAGCGGGTGCTGCTTCGCTGCATATGGTGTCCTGAAGTGGAGACGGGGCTGGGAATGCTGATCCCTAAACAAAGACAGCAGGTGGAATGGCGCTGCTGCCAGGCTTAAGGTATTCTTGCAGTAATCCGTAAGCTGGCAGGGCTTCGGGAGCGGGCACGTTCCCAAGGCACCAGCGCGCGTCTGTAGTGTTTCACTGTGCATCGGCGCATCCGCTGCCCGTCTTTTTGGGTCCTGCCAAGAGGACGCAGAAGCACACAGCAAGGATGCACGGAGGAACAAGAAACACTTTGGTCAGGAAGGCTTGCGTTCGCCTCCTCGTGAGTCAGCCCTGTCCTGTATGCGGAGAGAACAGAGCACAGCTTTGGCTGGGCTGGGAATGGCCATCCATTTCCACAGAGAGTAAGTCTGGTGTTGAACCGTGACACGCACAACCGCTTGTTTGCAGCAGGCGAGTTGGGCAAGGCAGTCAAGCCGGGGGCGGCGGGGGATAGTGACGTCCCTTACTGGAATTAAGGCATCTGCTGGGTACAGCAGGCACTTTAAATCATGCTGGCATTCATACTGCCTAATTGAGGACCTAGAGTTTTAATCAGGGCACTAATTTCTCACCATGTTGCCTGTAGTTTCCGTGTAGCCTGCTGTGGGCTAGCGCAGAAGTAGCTGACGGCTCCTGAATGGCTCTTAGAGGCCTCTGCATGACTGCAAAAAAGTGGATATTATATTCGCCATTTAGCGGTGGATAGGTCTGTATTTTTCATCGCGGGGAGAATTTAGGGTACCGTGTGCCCTGAAGTACGTAGTTATTTAGTGAGCCTGTCAGCAGGCATCTTTCACACCTGACCTGCTCTCACGCAGCCCTTCCGGTCTGAGTGAGGCTGTGCCCAGCTGGCTTACGGAGAGTCCGGAGGGCAGGCTGTTCCCTCGGTTAGCATTAGTAGTATTTCCAAGCCGCCGTTCATGTGCTTCCTAAAGAGTTGCCTTCGACCAGTGTCTCGTTGGAACTCCCAAGCTGAAATAATTATGGAGAAAGCGAGGCAATTCCACTCAGCCCAGATTTGCAAGGGTATGAGGCTTTTGCAGAAGCAGAGATACTCACCCGCTCCCCATAGCCGTGGTGAAGCAGTAACCGGTTTAATTGCAACAGGGAAGAGTCAGATCAGACTCTTGGAAAAACGTCATGGTGAAGAGTTGGGAGCCCCGGAGCAGCCCGACGACGGCGGTGACCCCTCGCCCTTCGCAGGCTGTCATTAAGAACGGAGCAGACATCTTTCAGAGTGAGGCAGGAGGAGCGGAGCCTGCCCTGGGGTAGGGCTTGGACCGCACGACCTTTCAAGGTCCCTTCCAGTCATCTTTTCTGGGATGCTCTGTACAAGTTAATACCAAAAATAAACAACTGCACCGATCATGTAAAGCTACGGGGAATGAGGGAAAAAAAAAAGACCATCACATTATTTTTCTTGCCAGAACAGCATTCTTCACAACACCCGTCGGGCATCATAGCTGCTTACTGCTTTTTCGCATAAAAGCTCCTTGCACCGAATCTGTGTCTGTAGATGTCCCTTTGGAAGAAAAAGCAGATACAAACACGACTGTTTGGCCATTTTTTGTTTAGCATCAGCACACTGACATTATTGTGACTTTGCCTTTCAGTGCTGATGATCTGTAACATGAAGTGCCACTAGACCGGGTTTCCAGAGCCTTCTGCGACTGTTGCCAAAATAGGTGGGAACCATGCGCATCCTGTGAGGGTCTGCGTGGGGGTGAGGTGATACTCGGGTGTCCCTCTCTCCCAGGTTTTGCATATTCATGTTTGTAGGTAGTGTGGGCTGAAGTACGTTCAGCTGCAGTGTCTTCTGTTGAAAAAACTGAAGTCTTGTTAAAACAGAAAGGTTTCCCTCCGATATCAGGCGAGGAATAAGAAATGGGAAGAAATCATTCTGACTTCCTTGTCCTTCAGTAACAGCAAACTATTTCAGTTTCATTGCTGGATGCATTTTTTCATATTGGAGTTTATTTATGTATTTTATTTACTCTCTTGTATTATTCACATTCTCACAATGTTTTGGGAAGGGGATAGAATTTATATTCCAGGGTAAATTTAGACTTCCCACTCAGAGCTAAAACTTTTCAAGTGCTAGAATTTCCAGTGGACTAGAAACATCATTTTTCAGCTAGCTCTGAGTAGCTGGGTTGTTTCACCCATTGTTTGTCACACATCTCCCTAAATGGCAGAAGTTACTTCGGAGTAAAAACACCACATTTTTAGTAACAAAATGATCAGTCTTTGGAGCTGGATCAGTAATAGTTTCATTAACAATTCTCTTGTGCGAGTCTGTTTGTACAACTGGAGCGTGAATACGAAGAACTTAGATAATTTGATTTCTCAGTGATTTGAGAGCAGATTTATGAAAACCATTTCATCTTTTTTTCCTTTTTTAGAATAACTTTTCAGTGAAAAGAGGAAATCTTTGAAAAATCATTGCATCCCAAAAATTGTCAGTCACTGCTCTGGCACGTATTAAAGCATTTGGATTTGTTTCTTTTCATGGCTTTTTTCCCACAGTCTAAATCACACTAATATCAGATCCAAAAGAAGTTTACTTTTTTTATTTCATTTAGCCTGGACACTAATTAATCGAGAGCTTATTTAGTCTCCGCTTTGCCTGAGGAAGTGAAGGAGTACCAGGAAATACAGGAAATACTTCTTTATGCTTCTTACTTTTTTACAGTGAAAATTTAAAGTACTAACTTGAATTATTTAGGAGATCATATAATCTCCTTGCTGTATTTCTTTACAGACTTTGATTTTTTTAATATCTTGATGGCAGAGTGGATTTCTAAATTCCTGTTTTGTTAAGGGTTATAGTCTGCTGATCAGAATTGACACTTTATAGTTCAGGCATGCATACTTTTGTAAAGTACTGTTACTAAAATTCGTAGTAACTGTTACCTGTTATTGAAGGTCTAGAAACTTGCAAGATATTAACAGGCCATTCCCAAAAAGGATTGAAAATACACACATACTAAAAGTCTATATGATGCTAAAAGTCCCCCAGATTAGGTTTTATGATGAAATTACGGTACGAAATAAGGTATAAGTGTAATCAGCCTAATCAAATTCTATTGTTATAAAATTGTGAGATATCTGAGCTGGAAACTATTAACTGTAACTGCATATAATGTGTGCCTAATAGGAACATTTAAACAGATGAATCTTAAAAGTTGAACTAATGATGTGCGCGTTAGCATTTTGGAAGTGACACTTCCTAGCCAGCCTCTATGGCGTTATTTCTGTGCAGCGGCTTCCGTTCTGCGCTCCCATGCAGAGAGCCCAGGCAGGGGCACAGGAGGAGCGTTTTCTGTGTTGAAGTACAGGAAGTGGACGCTCCCAAAAAGCCTTGCAGTGCCCCCATGCAATCGCTCAGTCGCGAAGGAGGTCAGACCTGCCCCAGCCTGCAACCCCAGGTGTCCAGCAAAGCCCTTGGCATGCCGGCAGT